AGTACTATATATGTGTTTTCAAAACAGAGGGTTAGTATGTTAAAAAAGAAAATGGTTTTCATATTATTAGTACTATTATTATAAACTTTGGTCCACTCACCTTTTGGTTTTGCGCCCCCTTCAGGAGTTAGAGTCGAGGCACAAGATCCCGGTGTCAAGTCACATCCGCATAGATATCTTCGAGTCTTCTCTGTGTAGGATCCACTTTCTTTGTAATCTCATTTATTTTAAAATATTCCTTTTGTACTCTTCTTGATTAGTTGTATGTAATGAACACGTTCCTGCAATTGCATACTTCATTATATTCAAATTTACATATTTTACTTACGTTCTTTCTTTCTATATAACTTGCATGCATGTTTAAATGGCTTCGTCACCCTTGGGTGTTGGCCATCACGTGTCTACTCTGGTATATGGGGATATCGGGGTTACGGGGTGTCAATGCTAATCCTAATTACACACGTTGGTTTTCTTTACATGGTAGAAAGATTCAAAGATACTGGTCTTTTTAGGGTTTTATATTAGAGAGTTCTGAACCCTGTACCTAGTTTATTTCTACCCACCGTCGGCATTAGGCTAATTCGAATGGCTTAAAGAAATTGATCTTCCTTTAACTGCTTAGTGTGGAAATTCGAACACTACTAAAAGCAATTTTCGAGCAGAAAGTTGCCTCAGCTGCCCCTTAGGTTTGATTTGGTTTTTAATTCGGCCGACCATATAGACTCATCGTTACAACAATAGTTTAAAAACCTCAATGTTAAAAATGTTAAAAGAGGTTTCAAGTTTTACCAAAAAAAAAAAAAAGAGGCTTCTAAGTTGGAATCTTTCCAAACCGCTGACAAATAATATTGAACCTAATGCATGAAGTTGGGTGAAAGTTGAACCTTAGTTAAAATCAAGATCTAAAATATCGATATTATCCCGATATTTCTATCGAAATTTCCGTATTATTGGACTACTGATAATTACTAAGTCACTCATGTATCTTACTATGCAATGTATAAAGTGTAAAATATTGTACTAATTCATTATATATAAATGATTATGGTGTGTTTAAATTTCTTTCATTAATTACTACATATTTTCTAGACTCATAATGTTTGCCAGCTCGCTATATAATCAACTTAAATCAGTTAAATCCATCATGCAATACATTTCCTTCCAATTTTTTATGATAAAATAATAGATAATTGACTAAATAAACATTATGCAAAGTTTCAATAAAAATTTCCAAGTTTTTCTTACAATTTCTGTGGTTTTTATTCAATTTTCATTGATATCGATAATATCTCGAAATTTTCATTGAAATTTCTGTGTTTTTGAACTACCGATATTTCCGATATCATCGATATTTTAGACCTTGGTTAAAATATACAAACTGCCTTTCGGCTTTCACTTTCTAAGCTAAGTGGCCACTGGCCAAGGCATATACTGAAATAAGAAAAGATAATTTGCCACTAGGTCTGATGACAACGAATCACATACAAAGTAGTCACAATAGGATCTAATTCCCAAAATCTATTGAAAAAAGGAACTCTAACGAAAAGCTTATGGTACTGTTCACTTTAACGAAAAACTATATTTTTACACTAAAAATTCAATCTTGATACTATTTACTTTACCCTTGATTTTGTCCTTATCGTTAAAACTCAAAGTTTTCAAGCCATTTTCATTAGTTTTCCTTTGAAAAAAAAAGTCAAATAAAAAAACTAGAGAGAGTAAGATAGCTCAATAGTTGGAAACGAATTTCAAGTTCGTATTACACACGGTACGTTTTGAGATTCATAGTGCTAATGTATTACACGATGGTGGACTAGGGAAAGCGAAAATGTTTATGTGAGTCTTTCCGACCCCCAAAAGGGTGGACTGCCGTGGTGAATAGCTGGTTCTCTTATTAGAAGATGAAACAACGTTGTGCGGCGAGGTGCACAACAAGAGAGCCTACTTGGCGAAGAAAAACATATGTGAATAAAGAATGGGAAGTGTTATTAATACTCTAAAAATCTTATTCTACATTCTTCATAAGTGTATTTTTCTTTCCTAATATAGAAAGTTTAGAGTGTGAATAGATTTTTGAAGTTATAATAACAATCAAAGAATAAAAAAGATATAAAAATAAAGAAATCGGAAACGGGGGAACACCCAACACCAGTTGTGAAACCAATCGTGGCCCCCTTTGTCCCTTTCCCCGTCTCCCCCTCCCTCTCCCTCGTCAACACCTCCACATTCTCTCTCTCTCTCTCTCTCTCTCCCCAAGCATGACCAGCTCCTCCGCCTCCGGCCGCAAGGTTTGCCCTAATTTCACACCCAATCACTTTTCCATGCAATTTCTGTTTCTGGGTTCTGTTTTTTGATTGGGTTTTTGGGTTTTGGATTTTTCAGACTTTGAGTAAGATTGCGTGCAATCGGCTCCAGAAAGAGCTTCTGGAGTGGCAGGTCAATCCTCCCGCGGGCTTCAAGCACAAAGTCACCGATAATCTCCAAAGGTCTTCTCTTTTGTTCTTCTACTTTCTGTTTGTTTCTCGAGAAAGGATGATTCATTGGAATTGGAGGAATAGTAGGATTCAGAATTTACATAGTCTTATACTTATTGGGTCTTTGGTTTTGGGTCTAAATTACCGCCTTTTAAACTGTTTTGATGAGGGAGATTGAAATTCAACTGTTTAGGGTTTATGTTGTGTATTTTTGCCTTCAATGTTTATGTTTTTCTGCTGCAATTACTTTGGTTCAATTCAATTACTGTTTTTTGGGGATTTGTGATCCAAAAGGTGGGTGATTGAAGTCAATGGAGCTCCTGGAACTCTCTATTCTAATGAAACCTTTCAGCTTCAGGTCGATTTTCCTGAGCATTACCCAATGGAAGCCCCGCAGGTCTGTGCAAATCCATCTGATTGTGTGATATGAATTTGCTTCAACATATATTTGCAAATTAGTTGACTTGGGTAGTTTTGATTTTCATAAAGCTGGTGACTTAACCGGTTTTGGTTTTTAAACTTGTGGCGGCTTGAACAGGTTATATTTGTCCCTCCAGCTCCACTACATCCTCATATTTATAGCAACGGTCATATTTGTTTAGGTAATCTATGGGTTTCAGTCAAGCTTTTGATATCCGATTTGTATTTAATTACATCACAAAAATTGTTCTTTTGCTGGATTGCTTCACCCACTCATTTGTTGAAACTTGAAATTGATACTTGTCCTTACAATGGACTTACATCTTCCGTTGTTGCTTCTATTTTTTAACGCATAATTTATCATCATTGTTTGAAACATGTGATAAGTGTTGCCCGAAAGTGCCGTACCTTTATCTCAATCTCTTGCTGAAAAGATGTAGTTTTCAGCTAGCTAAACAAATTTTGTTTTAGATAATAAAGCCTTCACTCCTTTATCAGCTGTCGTGATGACTTTCAAGACTGTATTGCAGAAGGAGGAGGAGGAGGGAGATAAACGGAGAGAGAGAGAGAGAGAGAGAGAGAGAGAGAGAGAGAGAGAGAGAGAGAGAGAGAGAGACTGGTTGTACATTCTAAATTATTTTTCTGGTAGTAAAGCTTGGCAATGGAAATCCAACTGAGTATTGATTTTCGCTGTAGTTTACTAGGCCCATGGAAATCCAACTGAGTGTTGATTTTTGCTGTAGGTTTGGTTGGTCACTGCCTTTCTGAATATGTTCAGTCTGTTAACTGAGCTAAATTTGTATTTACCAGAGATTTGAGTAATTATATTAGATACTAAACCGGGGATGGTATACTTTAACAACATCTTTAGGTTGACATTACTTACTGCGTGCTGTATCAAACAGTATCTTGAACCATTATGAATCCAATGAGTGAAAGTTTTAGTTATACTGTATTTAAGACAATATATTGTTTCATTTTACCCTCACGGCCTCACATGATGTGATCTATTGTTGATATGGAATTTTGTAGATATTTTGTACGATTCATGGTCACCAGCCATGACTGTTAGTTCCATCTGTATTAGCATTCTCTCCATGCTATCAAGCTCCACCGTGAAGGTTTGTGTTGTACTTCTTTAATTTTTGCATTTTTGGTGATTTCAGTTCTTTTAACTAGCAAGCTAGATCACGTCCCGTCATTTATTCTGCTAAAACATTCAAACAGGGAAATAACCAATCATTATTTTGTGAAAGATGGACATTCCCTAATTGATTATGAATTAAATGGTCTAATAGATTGTAAATATTTTGGGGATGTGTATCTGAAGCCCTTTTGTGTATGCCTGCAGCAACGCCCGGAAGATAATGATCGGTATGTAAAGAATTGTAGAAATGGCAGATCTCCCAAGGAAACGAGGTGGTGGTTCCATGACGATAAAGTGTAATAACCATGCACTGTCTTCCGTCATTGTCAAGAAATTAGAGTAATTGGCTTTCCTGTTCGAAGGACAACGAAGACAAAAGAAAAGAAGCAATTATAAAAACTGGGAGTTGTCCCTATTGCTGAGTAACTCTTATAAATTGACAATGCCCGGTACTTGTAAAGAGAAGGGAACAATTTGTGTTTCGACTGATTCGTAAGGAACAAACTGAGGTCAGAAGTTGGTATGAGCTTTTATAATTTAAGCCCCTTATCTTCCTGAGTTTTTTTTTTTCTAGACTTGTATGCTCGCCTCTCGTAAGGGAAGTGATTACTGTTGGCATGTGTCTTCCTGGATTGTTATACCATACTAATACTGTCGTGTGTTGAGTGTTTTTCGTATTTTCAGTCTTGTGATTGTGTATGATTAGTCTACGTATACTTGTCTCACGAAACACATTTGCAGCTTTAGGGATTTGTTACCATTGATGAGAAGTGATGCTGCTGTTTTGCTTTAGGGATATATTCCAATTTGCGTGCAATATTCAGGTTAAGTCGTTTATTTTCTGAGCACCTCTGGAAGTGAAATTCTGTGAATCTCTTTCGTCTTTCAAGGTTTACAATTTTCTTGAATGTGCAATATTCAGGGGAAGTCGTTCAATTTAGCACATTTAGCACACTGCCTTCCTGTAAAACGATCAATCTCTTCTTCCTTACATGCCCAAGCACACGCATACGCATAATATCGCTCTCTTGTCAATATGACAGAAGATAAAACTTGCAAATCACATATTGCCCAGATAATTCAAGAGAAAAACAGACGTCTCTTTAAGTATCACTACAATAAGTTCACGCTTGTCGAGTGCTGCAACGCCAAAATAAAGCAGACGATGGGTATTCCTACAACTCTAGAAACACACCAAACATTAGCTCCGAGTTGGCTCTCTACCATGACCCCTCAGCACCCAATGTTGGATTCTCGAAAGCAGAGAAACCCCAGAACGTCTTCAAAGAGTAGGGCTGAGAGACCGTTGCACCTTCTTCAGTGATTTTAGCTATCTGCAATTACACGTTTGAAATGTGTGATCTTACGGCAGCTAGGATCCAGGACTAGAAAGCTGAAATTAGGAATCCATAAGAAGCACACCCTAGTGCATTGTCTCACATAACTACTGAGTGACAAATCACTAGTAAAAAGAAGTATTCGAACGTGCACGCGTGTGAAGAGAGAGAGAGAGAGAGAGAGAGAGAGAGAGTTATGAGAACTCTTATGGACAGCATAGCAAGGTTTATCAGGTTCCATACAAAAGGTTTATAAATGCCGAAAAAGATTGAAGACAACAGACAGGTGGAATATATGCCAGTTAAAGAAAATAAACAGATAGACACATACGAATTCCCACTTGAATTGCTAGTAAAAAGACCTGTTGTTCTAAACAGCCTAAAAACAAAGAAATCTATAACTTATTTATGGATTGTCAAAAGATAGAGAAAATAACGTTATGCAATAATTATACCTGAAGCTTGTTCACAGCAGACCGATCTCGATAGAGAAGGACACGCATGCATTTCTCCAGCAGCTTTACACCCTCTTCGAAAGTCAAGTTCTCATGCCACTCATCGCGAAGAATAGGCCGTGCAAGGTGATTTCCAAATCCCGTAGCTACATGATCATCCTCAAAATTGACACCTATCATGCTAACCTGAAGATAAAAAGTATGACAAGCAACTAAGTCACCTGATTCAGGATTTCTATTCTTGGAAAAAGAAAAACATATCTTCTAAAAGCACACAGCATGAAGGTTTATATGAGGCCTACCATGCCAAGATACTTCTGTCCATTTTTCACTCCACCAAGGACAAGAGAGTTCCACAACGGATTGAACTTGTTACGCCTATTGTACATCACACGGGTCAAATAGTTGTGCACCTCTTTAGGTCCCAAAGAGTTCCCATCATTCCACATGTTGTCGTACAGGCTACAACCAGAAAAATCAGAATGAATAATCCTTTAACCAACTGTTTCAAGTAATACAAAGAATCATAGAAAAAAGCACAATGAAAACATTAAGGAAGGTAGCTAAACAGTAACCTTCATATTTTTTTCTTAATCAATAATACTTACACGAGCTCATCCAGATAATGTAATAACTCCTGAAAGTCACTTATTTCTCCACTTGCACCAAGAACAGAATGCTTTCCAATTGGCTTCATTCGCTCCACACTCTTGTATCGCAGGGTAGACCCATATGAACCTATCAACAAATCCATAATTTTAATACAATTAAGAAATATCAACAGACACATAAAAAGGAACATACATGGGTAAATTTTGAGTAATGAACTATTGGATCTCCAAAGCCAAAAAAAGAAATGATTTGCATGACTGATATAGAGATGACCATAACATAAAAATAGAAGAAATGAACTACGAAATGAAACAAAAATTAAAATACCCTTTTTATTCTTCATAACTATAAACAATAATGAGACAGACTACAACTGCTAGGTCTTTGTTTTATTGCTCCATGATATCTTGGAGCTTTCACAAAAATGCGAGAAGTTAAAATCTGTTTTTGATTCTACCAGTTTAGCCATTAAATATCGTCACTTTATTTCAACCACATTAGGGGATCTAAAACTCAGGAAAAAAAATCTATACACAGCATTAACATTTGAACTATTTCTCCTTAAGATAGAATGAAACAAATACTATAAGCCAGCTCGAACAACTTCAAAGATTTCATAACAATTTTCACTATAAGAAGCTAAGAGAAAGGGAGCAAAGAGTCCCACTTTTTCTTCGAACCCCAGAAAAAAATCTATGTACAGCATTAACATCAATTTCTAGTTTCCCAGTAACCAAACAACAATTTAAATCATATAATGGGCCAAAAAATAAGAAAAATAAAAACTTGTTTTTGTGATGCAATGTTAATGGAATTGGAAGCAAACCTCCCATATCAGCAGCCATCAAAATTCCATCTTTATACTTGAGAGCCACAACAGATGTACCTGTTACATATGGGTACCTTCAAGCAAAAAAATTATAAAAAAAAAAAAAAACACACAAAAAAAAAACACAAAAACTAAAATTAAAGGATTGAAATTTTCATACAAAAAGCTAAATCCTCAAAACCCCAAATACCCAAATCCCCATACAAACCAAAATACACATGAAAAAGTAAAAATGAAACATTAAGAAAGCATACAGGGTTCTCTGCGAGCCTTCAGGATTGCACAGTAGGCCGGGTTTGGATTGGTTCGACTCCACCAACTGCTAAAAGATAATTAGAAAAGTTAAATCAAAGTCATTAAACAAAAATCTGGGACTTGGGAAATCGAATGGGTGCTTGAAACTTACACTCATTTTTGTTTTGGGAGATTTTGAAATCGCAGCTTTTAGTTTCCAGCACCTCTGTTCTGTTCTGTAGTAATTTGCTCCGGCCTGCGATGTGGCCTTCTTTGGTGCATTTGAATGAGTTTGTGACCAAAAATAAAAAGAAAGAGGGTACAAAAAATTATTATTTTCTTTTCGCTCAACAAATTGCAGGATGGTCCAGGTGGAAATGGACTGAAATTTTAGGCCCAACAATATTTTATGACCAGCCCAGTTTATATAATCTAATTGCTTTGAGTCTACGTTGTATTAAATTAATAAAATAATTAAAAGAAGGGTTGTTTTATTTAAACCCCACAATTTGTTGAAAACACCTCACATTCAAAATTTATTCTTACAATTCCAGCTTTACCCTTCATTTTGTTGAATCCACCTCACCTCCCACCCACAAACAATAAATCCCACAGCTACCCACCCCACAACCACAACCACAACTTTGCTGATGACCCCATTCAATTTTAATTTTCTTTCTTTCATAGTTATGCTTTTGTTTGGCATTTGACATAGGGTTGAGGGGAATGATCACACATGCATTGGGCTACTACGATTATGGATGAAAATGCAGCCTATAAAATTGTTAAAAACCCCTTTCCATCATTTCCATGATAGACTGTTTGGATGTTGTGATGAAATTTTTATGTTTCCCTGATAAGTTAGTTTAGATTTATAAAATGTATAGCTAATTGCATGAAATTTCAATTTTGTGTTTTGGCTAGGTTGAATGGAATCACGGGAGAAGGGTGGTGGTGGTGGATGGGTGGCTATGTTAGATTTTTTTGTATTTGGGAGGTGGGGTGAATTCAACATAAGGAAGGGTAAAGTTGGAATTGTATGAAGAAAATTTAATTATGGGGTGTGAAAACAACCCCCACATTGGGGGAGTTAATAACAATTTTTTTGAAAAAAATCATAAACTACAAAAGAGCAAATTATGTGTTGCCACACGTTAACGCTTGTGGGAAAAAGGCTAGTGATAATAATATTTGCATCTATGTCACTAACATTTTGGTAGGGTTTCGATCTGTTAGTGACTTGGTGTTTAAGAACATTTGGGTTGGCTTAAGTGAGGGAATTTGAGATTGTTGAGAATGAATATCAAACTGATGAAATGAGGGATCTTACATGTACTTATAAATAAGGGAGACTTTGGATACGGTCCCTAGTTATGAAAAGTCTTTGACTGAAACCTTGTTGGTTTTCAATTTTTGATCCAAGTCCCTGAAATTAATTGATAATTTATTTCTATGTACGTTACTATATTTTTTAAATTAAAAATTAAAATTTATAGTTGTTTATAGTAATGAGATTTTAAATAAAAAACCATAATTTGTGGGATTAAAAATATTAAAATATAAATATACTATTGTGTGTGTGTGTAAACATGGGTACATTCATAAAAAATAACCAAAAAATTATTGTATCAAAACATGGGTACATTCTTCAAAATGGGTACATTTAGCAAAAATAAAAATGGGTACAAATAAATAAAAAAATATGGGTACAATACAAATAAAACTTAAAAAAATATGGGCACAAAAAGAAATTAATATATGGGTACAAATTAAAACTGAAAGGAAAATTGGTACAAATTAAAAAAGGTTGCAAATTAAAAATGGGTACAAACTAAAAATAAAAATATATGATAAAAAATTTAGCCATAAATATAAATATACTAATTGTAACATTTTTAATATTAAATGAATATATTTAGAAATAAAAAATATTTTATTATTGAAATAATTAATGATATTATTAATACAAAGGACCTTGATCAAAAATTGAAAAGTAATAAGGTTTTAATCAATAGAGTAGTAAAAATAAGGATGAAAACCTAATTACTCCTATAAATAATTAGATTACTCTTTACATTGTCAATTGATTGATTTTCTAGTATAGTCTCAATTTTTTTAGAGATAATGATAAAGAATTACGATAGTTCTAGAATTTAATTTTCTCATGGTTAGTTTGGCCCTAATACATAGTGTAAAAAATTTTCCTGACTGACGTGTTATCTTAATTTTAAGAGCATATTTACTTAACAAAAATGAAAGAATAGTAGAACTTAATTTAAAATATGAATCAATCCATTACATTTCTCTTTCCGTGTATTTAACATTTCTCTCACTATCCCATCATTTTTTTTAAGGAAAACTAATGAAAAGAGCTTGAAAACTTTGAGTTTTAATGATAAAGACAAAATAAAGGGTAAAATGAATAGTACCATAATTGACTTTTTAGTGTAACAATATGGTTTTTCATTAAAATGAACAGTATCATGAGTTTTTCATTAAAGTTTCATTTTTTTTATTCTACATCTTTATTTGAATATGAAAACAATAACTATAAACTTTAAATTTTAGCAAAGGGACATGACCTACTCAACGAAGGACTCGAACGACTCAAACTACAAGTCTTCTTATGTATCTCAAATTCAATAAATCACATATTTATAGTTTGCGAGCCTTGGTGTAGTGGAAAAGCTGCTTCTTTGTGAACGAGAGGTCATGAGTTCAAGTCGTAGAATTTTTTTTTGTTGCAAAGTAAGGGTAAGACTGTATACTCTAGACGTCCCCCCCCCCCCCTCTGACTCTCGTATAACAGAAAACCTTGTTGGATTGAGATTGTCCTTTTAAAACATATTTAAGCCCTACAACTTGCTATTGCTAAAACTAGTTTTGTAGTTATAGAATTTTCAGTTTAACAAGCATTTTTATTACGAGCGGAATTACTACTCTAAAAGCTAAACTAAGGGATGAGGAGAGTGTTGGAATCCAGAATGAACTGAATTGAAAAGAAATTCCATATTCATGAAGGCAATCCACCATTTTTTTTAACAAACAATAGTATCTACACTAAGGGAAGGAGGGTAGGGGAGTGAGCTAAGCCTCACACTAAATGACATGAAAGTTGATGATTAGATTATTACTTAAGTATTGATAAACGTGCTCATTCTTATCGATGACACATAATTTAGTTTGCAAATTTTGTCTCTCTAGCATTATTCTTTAAATATTATTTATAAATAAGAAATAACTGCTATTGATGTGCTTGAATACAATTAATTAAAAAAAATTGCAAACTAATAAATGCAATTAATATTAAGTTGCAAGCTCCATTTTTTTCTGTCTCAAACATTAATAGGAAAGTAATTTTTATACATCTTTTAGCTGCTCATGGACTTTTTTAAATTTTAGTCGTCAAATTAAATAAACTAAATGAGCATGATATACCTGATTAAACAGGTTAAAATGAGGGGTGGTTATCATTTCCTTGTTAATATATTGCCAAGCCAATTAAAATTCTTTTCCAAGTGCAATTAATATTGTCCGCCTATATATTTGCTAAAACAAATTTTTCTTAGTTGTATAAGCTACTTACATACTCGATTTGCAATTTACTTGGTGAGCACGCAAATATTTTAACCAAAAGGCCAAGTCGTATCAGGATAGGATTTTGGGGTTTTTGGCTTGGGCAGCAAGTATAACCAACCCATCAGCACCCATATAAATCGGGCTGATCAAAGCTTCAGAAACCCTAGCCTCTCTCTGTCTCTTGTTATTCAGCAGAAACCCTAGCAAACACTTTATTCACTTTCCTTATTCCAATCATGGCCCAGTTCTCCAACTCCTTCGAACTGTTGGGGGTCAGAGATTTCCATCAACTCATCGTTGTGGTCGATGAGAGGGCTGAGGGCTCGTTTCTGGAGGAGTCGAAGAGGAAGGCGGCCGAGGAGGAGAGGAGGAAGAAGGAAGAGGAGAAGCAGAAATTGCGACTCGATATTCAAAAAAAATTATGTTACGGAGGACAAAGGAATTCTACTACTGGATTCTACGACAGCGGGAATCGGTATAACCGGCAGCGGGATTTCAATTCACATAGATTTTCTCCTAGGCCTAAAACCGAGGATGCTAGATCTGTGTCTAGTACTACTAGTGCTGTGTCGCAGATATCTTTTGGGACGGTTAGTAATGGAGGTTCTGGCGTTGATTTGAAGAGAAATATCAATGGGGTGGAGAAGGAGGAGGCTGAAGCTGTTGTGGAAGTCCAACAGGAAGAGCAGGGGGATAAAGCCCCGGAGCAGGCAGATAAAACCCCGGAACAGGGTGATAAAACCCAATTGGAGAGTAATGGGGTCAACGAAAGCAGCAGCAAGAAGAGTTCTGAAGGATTTGTGAGGCGAAAAATAAATGGGAGTGTACGGAGGAAGATGAAGAAGACTAAAGGCAAAGGTGGCGAGAATGGAGGAGCTGCCAATGATTCCAGTGCCGCTGCAACTGCTGCTGCTCCAACTGCTCCCGACGAGAAAAAGTTTACTCGTGTACTCACTTTGAAAGAGTATGAGAAAATGAAGGCAGAGAAGGACAAACCCGCCGTTGTCCAGCAGCCCTCGAAGTCTGAAGATCAACAACAGCATCCTGAAGATCAACAACAGCATCCTGAATATCGCCAGCAGCACCCTGCATATCATCAGGACCACCCTGCATATCATCATCAGAACCACCCTACATATCATCAGCAGAACCGCCCTACATATGGCCAGCAGTATCCTGCAAATCAGCAGAACCGCCCTGCATATCACCAGAATAATGCAGGTCAGTTTAATAGGCAGAATGACCGCTCCTGGAATCCAGAGAAGGATCGAAGAGGGAAGAAAGGGTTTGAAGGAAAACGTTCAGGGCAGGCAAAGCCAAAGGCTCCGTTCGAGTTGGATAATATTGCTGAATTTCCCTCCCTCAAAAGTAAATAGTTTGTATTCCCTCAGGGGGAGAGGGAACGGGGTGGGGATTTCCTAGATGAGGGGCAGAAGTGCCAATAGAGGCACGATTTTGGATTGTGACGAAAAGTAGTTCACTCGAAATAAAAAGCTTTTGCAGTTTTGCCTTAATAATTTTCTTGTTACATAATGTGTTTTTAGTTTTAATTCTTTGGCCAAATCAAGATGGTTTCAAATCCAGCCACAGTAGCAAGAGTTTTGCGCTAATTAAAACACCTAGTTCTTTGCTGTTGATCAGGTTGCATCACACATTTTTCTTTATTTTAAGCTTTCATTGACTTCATCAGAAATCATCTTATGAAGATTGATTGCTTAGAGAATTGAA